CATCTTTAATGAACAAAGTGTTTCAAAGTTTTGCACATTCTTTCAGAGCCAAAGCCAACACCTGTCTGATTCCAACACCAACAATCCGGTTGATCACTTCAATCATATCTGCTTGTTGTCACTAAATATTACTGCTTCTCTAAAGGTTAGGCCTACGTCTAAAGCTAGTAAGCAACCCTGGATAAATAACAGCATTCACAGCCTAAAAAGGGAATGCAGGAAAGCAGAGCGCAGAGGGAAAAAATCCAGTCTCCAAGTCCATTACCTCAGTCTGAAGGATTTATTAATTAACTACAATAACATGGTTAAGGATGCGAGAACACACTATTTTTCTGAACTCATTACTACACATAAACACAGTCCCAGGTTTCTGTTTAAGACTGTGGATCAGCTGGTAAACCCAACCCCTCCTTGTGCCTCAGCTGGAAGTAATGATGACTGTGAATAGTTTTTATCTTATTTTACCAATAAGGTGGTGTCAATCAGAGCCTCTGTTAACCCCACTGCCTCTTACTCAGAGGTCCCTCACCAGCAACAACAGAGTTTTAACCAGTTTTATCCCATCAACTTGTCTGAGCTTTTAAAAACAGTATCACAAATGAGTGTCCTCCAGCCCACTTGTAATACCTACAAAGTTTTTCCTGAAAGTAATGGATTCTGTTGGGCCCCATTTGATGTCTGTTTTTAACAGCTCCCTATCTACTGGTTGTGTCCCAGATTATTTTAAAACAGCTTGCGTGAACCCACTTTTGAAGAAACCTGGTTTATATCCCTCCATCCCACAAAATTTTAGACCAATTTCAAAACTGCCTTTTATTGCAAAGATTTTTAGAAAGAATTGTGTCCAAACAGCTGCTCACTGTACTGGAAAATAACAAATTATTTGAAAAGTTCTGGTTTCAGGAAGTACCACAGCACTGAGACAGCCCTGCTTAAAGTCACCAATGACCTTTTAATGTCTGCTGATGAAAGTATGTGCTCAGTCCTTGTACTCCTGGACCTTAGCGCTGCTTTTGACACCATTGATCACAACATCATGTTAGACAGACTGAGGCACTGGGTGGGGATCTCTGGTACTGCCCTAGAATGGTTTTCATCCTACCTGTCAAATAGGAAGTTTTGCGTGTCTGTAAACAACTATGTCTCTTTGTTCTGTCCAGTTAAATATGGTGTGCCTCAGGGGTCGGTCTTAGGACCCATTTTGTTTTCCTTGTATCTGCTTCCCCTTGGACATATTATCCATAAACATGGTATTTCTTTTCATATATATGCTGAAGACAAACATATGTACTTGCCCGTCAGATCCACAGACCCTGGAATGCTGAGTTCACTTAACAACTGCCTTTGTGAAGTTAAAAAATGGATGTCAAATAATTTCCTCCAGCTGAACTCAGACAAAACAGAAATCCTGGTCATTGGGTCCCAGCAGATGGCAAAACAAATACTGCCATCTGCTGGTTCCCTAGTAAATCACATTAAGCCTGTTGCAAAAACCTTGGTGTTTGGTTTGATAGTAATTTAAATTTCGAGCAGCACACCACAAAGCTTGTTCAATCATGTTTTTATCAACTTAGAAATATAGCAAAAATTCGATCAATGTTAACTTTTAAGGACACCAAGACCATTTTACACGCCTTCATCTCATCACGCCTGGATTATTGCAACAGCCTTTTCACTTGTTTAACCCAAAAATCTACTGATCGACTCCAGACTGTCCAGAACTCAGCTGCCAGGCTTTTAACCAGAACAAAGAAATATGACCACATTACTCCTATTTTAGCTTCATTACACTGGCTCCCTGTATGTTTTAGAATTGACTTTAAAATTCTATTGATCACTTTTAAAGCTCTTCATGGCCTCTCGCCGTGTTACATTTGTGACCTTTTTGTCCCAAACGCACCAGCACATACCTTAAGATCCTCGGGCAGAGGTCTGTTGTCTGTTCCAGAGTCTCCACTGAAAACTAAAGGGAACAAAGCGTTTGCTGTCAGGGCTCCAAGGCTCTGGAACAGCCTGTCCGAGGAAATCAGGTCAGCTGAGTCAGTGAACTCTTTTAAGCCCTTTCTTAAACATACTTTTATAGGAGAGCCTTTCCCGATTTTATTTGACTTTATCCCTTTTATTTTATTCTATTTTACTTATTTTATATTTATCTTAAATGTGTATTTTAGTCTTTTCAATGTTTTCTTGCTTTTCTTGTTTTTCTTGTATTGTTTTTGTATTATTATCTTTTGGGTATTATTGTCTTTACACATGTTAAAGCACTTTGTAACTTGTTTTCGAAAAGTGCTCTACAAATAAAGATTATTATTATTATTATGTGTAGGCCAAACCCGGTGAGCATAGCAAGCCGAGGTCTTTTAATACATCCGCTGTGTTAATGTCCAGGTTACATGTCATGGGGACCATGTTCATTAACAGTATGCTTTGACGATTGTATAACTGTTGCTCCTCTCTATATTGTACTGATTCTCTGTTTTTATTGTGAGCTGATGCAGCCGCAGCCAACATGGGCACCGCCATTTTCCTGATTTCCGTGATGTGGTAAGCGCGGATGGAATCACGGAATTTGATAATAAAAAATGAACCAGCTGTTAAATACATAATATTACGGAATCTGCCAAAATTTGGGTGCAATTTATAAACATTTTCATTTTCCGTAGCATTATAAGCGTCTTTTTCAAAGTACTGAAGTTAAACAAACACAAAAAATTTGTTTTGTTTACATTTACGTGTCATTTACGAGCACCCTGCTTCTCTCCTCTGCTCTCTGTTGGTGTTTCACAGCGGGAGGACACATTCATATATTCATTGTAAATTGTGCCAATAAATAATTGCACATAGGCCTACAATTGAACATTTCTATTTGCACATTTTGTTTGATACATCAAATTAAATGATAGTGATTACATTTTTTATATTTTCTTATTGAGCTGTTGAAATTGTATTCATTCACCAGATGATTACACTCTCTCTGATGACAAAATGCAGAAATAAAACACAGAATTCACAACAATGAAAACGGATTTTATAGGGCCCTACGTAAGCTATGGAGGGTAACGTTCAGTAGCATACTTTAGTAATAGCCTACTGAAGTATACTTCAGTAATACTTTAAAATAAGAAAGGACTATTACAAAGATCTAAGCAACTAGACAACTGTATACAACACTACTTTGAGCTCTATGCCAGTGACAAAACAGTCTCCGACGAAGCATTCAGCACTGTAGAGCGCCAGCCCGTAATGGAAAAGCTTGACATGGAACCAACAACTGAGGAGCTAAGCAAAGCAATCAGCAGCCTGTGGAAAACCACCACGCAGCAATGGGATCACAGCTAAAGTCCTAAAGTGTGGAATGCCTATTTTTCTTGACACTCTCCTTAAAATCATCTGCTTGTGCTGGAGGGAAGGTGCTGTCCAACAGGACATGAAAGACACTAATATCATCACTCTGTACTCAAGGGAGACAGAAGTGTATGGAACAACTACCAAGGCATCTCGCTACTCACCATCACATGTAAACTCTTTGTTAGAGTTTGTAGCAGGTCTAAAGCTACGTATGATTTTTAATACATTTATGAGAATACCCAATTATGCATTTTAATATTCAGAAAATATATTAATCCATAAATCTCTCGTTTCGGGGCACCACCCGATATACCGTTCGCTCAGGGTCTCGGGACTCCCTGAGTATGGCTAATAATTAGACAATTATCTTAAATCAGTCAGTCTCATATCTCATCTGAAAGGGGTAAATTCTCTTGGCAGGGACTTAGAGATAGGCAATACACACAATTCCTTGATTACAGTGAATTCATTAACTAACTAAAGGTGATATGAAAATGTGGTTAAATACATCAGAGAAATAAACAATGGCTAAACAATGAGCATGGAGGTCTATTGTGGGAGAATTTGACTCATACGGCAGCTAATGAATGCAATTAGATGATAACTTGGTTAAATTTGTCTAGGAGTTTCAAGGATTACATATGCTGGACTAACCAACTATTGGACATCACTGACTACAGAATGCAGGGTTTTGGTCTTACTGCTTGTGTTTCTCCCCGCCGGGTTGCTGCCTCACACTGGCAGAGTCCGTGCGTTCTCGTTTGGGACAGCTTCAAGCCGTCGGCCAGTCGCTTTCTCTGCCAGGTAATTGCTCCGGGGTTCCGTCTCTTGTCAGCTTTAATCGAGAAACTCGCAGTGGGGCCTTCCCAACCCTGTCTCGGGTCAGAGGTATTAGTCGTCCTTTGTTACTGCTGGCGCGACCACGTGGGTTGGTCTGACCTCGGTGAAGTTAGCGCGACGAAATAAAGCTTATACTTCATCGTTCTTGAATTAAAACTAGGGTAATTCAACGGACTGATAACTTTAACAAAACAAAACCAAAGCAAATAAAACAAGTAAGCTGCTGAAATGAGGGAAAGCTGAGGTCACAGCACTTCGCGAGTGTAGCTTGAAGCGCTGGGCCGAACTCTTAGGGCGTTGCCCGGAGAACCGCCGTCGAAGAGTCAGGAACAAGCAGAGCACAAAGAACAAGAGGGAAGCGTCAAGAAAGTGAACAACAGCGTGTGTCGCTGTTTCGTCTGTTGGGGCGTGGTTCCCAGAGGGCAGTCCTTCATTTCCCGGAGGGGATAAATACCGAGTGACATTTATACATTAAAGGCATTATGGACGATGGCATGTAATACTTATTTTGTCCACTTGGGGTAGCTCGGGGTAACATGAGGATAGCTCTGATTAATCCTAAAACAATCTTTGCTCAGGAACTGGGAAATTTGGTTACTTAACCTTAAATTCAAGGTTTGGATTTAGGGTTTCCTGGCCTTTCTTTAAGAAGAGTTCTGATAGGATGTTCAGGAAAACGCTAATCGCTGGTCAATTTTCCATTGTCAGTTTAACAGTGAAGTACTGCGTTATCTGGCTGCGGCATCATAGGTGGCCGGTTTTACAATCAGGCTGCTCTGCGACAGCACTTAGGGAGAGAAAATTTCTTCTTTCTCCCAGGGAAAGAAGAGGAATTGGGAGTAGTCCAAATTTATTTAATATAAAATGCACAAATCCAATTCAATTCTCTACTATTTACACACATACGTAACGCATTTACATTTACACATTTTATATAAAATATTTACTCTTCAAGCTCTTTTCAAATTAACATTTATAAACACCATAAAATAAGTAAAATAACCTGTTTACAATATCTATATAAGACTCAACAGACAGATAAGTACGACGAACAACAAAAGTATGCATAATGTTACGACCTGCCTCAAAAGCCCACAACAAACAGGGATACAAAAAATAGGTCTATTTAATCCAAAACAAGGCAAATTAACAATTGTACTAAAATAAAAGGGTTAAAGTATGGGCTATGATCAGTGATTTCAGTAGTGTCAGGATGGTGGATGGCTGTGTGTGAAGGTGTGATGTGCAAAAAACAATGTAACTACAGTGACATATCCAAGAAACAAACCAAAGGTGGACCTTGTGGAAACAAACAGAGGAGAAACAGTTAGCAGAGAGGTCTGTCAGCTCAGCCCAGCAGCAAGTCCCTAAGATTGAAAACAAGAACTTACAAATACTCTACAAGGCAATGGGTCTAGGTGCCCAGAGTTACTGCAATCGCCCTCAGCTCTTCCCCTGCAAGACAGAAAGGCGACACACACACACATAAGCCCACAGGATGTCACAAAAAAACAAACAAAAAAAAACACAAATAGTGAAATAAACTACTCATACATGCAATATTAAACCATTAAATATTAATACTTTTGATAGTTGAACACATCCGTTATCAGGCTGCCTGCTCTTTCTGCCCCGACCCAAATGCACAATTATATTCCACCTGCAACCAGGAACACCTAAAGGCTAGAAGACTGTATCAGTAACCAAGCACACTAATTTACGGACTGTAAATCGCAAGTAACACTGATCTTTCACCCTGTTGCTGCCTCCGTGTCCTGTAAAGTCACTCTGATAATGGCAGATGCTCTTCCATGGTGCTGGCCTACCACTCTGATAAAATAATTTAAAAAGTTAAATGAGCAGCAGGATCAAATAATATAAATAAATAAATAATATATATAACAAGAAAATTAATTTCATATATGAATGAATATTTTTTTTAATGATTTCAATAAATAATTTAAATAGGCAGTGGGATGAAATGATGGAACAAACATACTTTTATAAATAGCTTTTAAATAACTACATTTTAAAACTAATTTAAACATTAAATTAGCAGCGGGATCAAATGACTCAATATAACAAAACATGATTAATTTCATAGCTGATTAAATCAAATAATTTTTTATGAATGTATTCAATAAATACTTTTAATACGCAGTGGGATGTACTGATGCAACTGATGAAACACAAATAAATAATAAATACCTTTTAAATATTTAAATAAATACATTTTAAAAGTCATTTCAACATTAAATGAGCAGCGGGATCAAATGACTAATTAATTTAACAATGCATAAATAATTTAATACCTCATTAAATAATAAAAAATTGTAATAATTTCAATAAATACTTTCATTAAATAGGCAGTGGGATGAACTGATGTAACACATAATTTCATAAATAACTTTAAAATATTTAAATAAATACATTTTAAAATGATTGATGTAAGGCATAAATACGCAGCAGGATCAACTTATTATTTCATGACTGAATTAACATTACATAAATACATATTAATAAATAAGTTTTCAAATCCCTACACAGGCACAAGTGCGGCAGACTTAAGAGCAGGATAAACTTTTACAGGCATATTTGATCAGATCAGCTACATTCCTAAAGCTAAAGGCTTCTCTCTTCCGGTGCTAAACACTGTATGACGGAAATGGGCTCCTCAACTGCATAACTAGGCTAGCCATACAACTGAAAAAGCTCATGTGTACACTACAAGTACACCCCCCACCAGTGATCCAGACTTTCCACCCTCAGCGGTGAAAGTAGCTGACCCTACGGAGAATATATGAAGTCTATGGAAATACATTCATGATAGCTGTAGTATGTGGACAGTATTTCCACATTAACAATGTTAGGATTAATGTCCTTAATGTAAATGTGATCAATTACAGTCCCATTCTCTGTTGTTGGTTGGGTTACTATTTGACTGTAACCTTGCTGTTCCATAAAGTTCTCCATAGATTTGGAAACAAGTGCATTATCATTAAAGTCACCCATTATTATTTTACCTCCTGAAAGCTGCTTAAAATGGCTGACTGCCAGACTCAGATTACTTTTGAAAAGGCCAATTTTATATGAAGGTGGTCTATACAGTAATTGTGGTTTGGCTGAACATTAAACATTATGGCTTCCAAATTCTTACATGGCACATCAAGGAGGTTACACATGATGTGATTTTTGTGGTAAAAACCAACACCACCATGTTCTTCTTTCTGCAAAGCAGACCGAACTCCTGTGCTGCTGTATGAGTCTGACATTACTTTATGGTGAAAGGTCCAGCCTTCCATCTCAGTCTCATTATGTGGTACATTGTGTTGCAGACATGTTTCTGACAGGCAAATTACATCAGCTTTCAGAATCCTGCTTTCATGTTTTAGCTCAGTTATGTGAGCATTTAGACCTTGAATGTTGTGTAAACACATGTTCACAAATGACGCTGGTCTTGTTAAGGGAGCCTCAATAAATTGTGCCATATTTTGTAGATAAGTATCGATGTCACTTTTGCAATATATTGCAGTTGGTTTAAAATCTTCAATAATCAGGTTTTGTAAGGATGTAACTCTGCTTAGAGCTACATATGCTTGACCGGCAGCAAAATCTCTTTTTTCAAAGACACCACTGCTTTGTCCAGAGTCAAGCCTTGCACTTTATGAATTGTGCAAGCCCAGGCCAGACGTAATGGAAACTGACGTCTAACTCCATTACCTTTTTTAACTCTGTCTTCGTCAGCACCAATTGGGATGGCATTTTCAAGGCCTGGTTCTAAACATGGAAATTTAAGCCTCAGTTTTTTTTTTACCAATCTTTGGATCATCAAAATGTACATATGTTGTTCTGGGGAATTTGTTGTTTCCATCAAATGTAACTTTGCACACAGTGCCAAACACTCCATTAACAAGACCATCTGAGACATCTATATTTTTGATCAGCATAACACGAGCTTTTGGACCAACACTCAGTATTTTGTCTAAATATGTTTGATTATCAGACTTATGTGAGGTTGTTATTTTTGTAAGTCGCCCTGTTTCAGGGTTTTTCTCTAAATCTTGTGCTTCAATTTGAAATATATCTGAACACACCTTGTGCAACATGTTGAAATGATGTGTTTTTACTTGGTTATTCGTTGCAAAGATGTGAAGGTCTTCTGTATCTTCTCCCATGCCTGTCTCACATTGTTTTTCCCCTTTCTGATGTTTTCGGATCCTATTTAGCATCAGGGCAAATTATTTGTCTTTTTGGCGCATGATTTCTGTCAACTCCACATGGCTGAAAGTATTATCCCATAGGTTGTTCCCAACATATTCTGTGTATAGAGACTTTCCTTTAACTGGTGGGAGCTGGTAAAAATCCCCGACAGCCATGATGGATACATTGCCAAATGGAGAAAAGTCTGCACATTGTTTAATTTAGCGCAGTCTGCCATGAATGTACGCCAGAAGTTTATGATCTACCATAGAAATTTCATCTATTAATAATATTTGGAGATCTTTCAGACTGGCTCTCAAGGTTTTTACTTTTTCCTCTTTTAAAGGTTGATATGGCAATGACATGTTATTACCAATTGAAAAGCTGCTGTGTATTGTTGTTGCATTGATGTTAAATGCTGCCACACCAGTAGGAGCAAAGCTCCTCAAAGCTACTGAATTTGGAGGGTTTCAGCTGATCATCAAAATAATACGGCAAGAACAGCTGCAGCAAGCTTTGGTAGTGCTTTTCAGGATACTGTGTGGGTGAAAAGTGAGCGTACCTTACAACAGCAGCATTTGTCCTGGTTCTCTTTTTAACAAAGCCAAAGTTATTGCCCAGTTTAACCATGCCACTTTTGCTCTCATTTTTGGCAGCAACTCTGTATTCTGAAGCAAAGGATGCAAGACACATGTCTTTCAATTCATTGCTTTGTGGTCTATTTTTGTAGCGATCTGTAATGTTTCTCATCCAAAGTTGGTCTGAGCCAGTTTCTTCATTTTCTGCTCTCTTTTGAATGAGACTGAGAGGAAGGCTCATTCTCACAACATTGTCCCCAGTAGGAACAAAGGTGACTTTTCTGGAACATTTGTAGTGAACAACGGTGTGGATTTGTGCATTTTATATTGAATAGATTTGGAGCTACTCCAAATTCCTTTTTCTCTCCCACAGAGCAGCAGGGGGTCAAAGTTACTCTCTCTAAGTGCTAGCCGACCATAAAACTGGCACCTTTTTGATTCCGAAGCTGATAACGCGGGGCCTGACTGTTAAACTGACAAAGGGACACGAACCAGCCATTGGCATTTCCCTGAACAGCCCCCCCACACAAACACACACACATGTTTCCGTGGCAACTGACTGTGCTCTATGTTTATTATCCCATCAAAGGGATACTCCTTGTCTCACCTAAGTGTGACATAATCCAGGACAGCCGAACTTTCAATATAAAAGGGACTGCAGTCAAAGCGTTTAATTAAGTTTAATTAAATCTTTAGTTACTTGATTACGTTTGCCTCTACTTGAGTAGTTATGTTAACCTTTGCAGTGTTTATTTTCAGCAAGACACTCCTTCATCTAATGTAATCAATGCTTGTTCATAATACTTTCCAACAAAATTCCTTTAGAAATGATGACAAAGGAATGTTTTACTATACTCTTAACTGCCAGCTTGAATTTAAGGATGAATCAACAATATTCCCAGTTCCTAAGGAGGTGATCTTTGATTAATCTAAGCTTTCCTCATGTAACCTGAGCTCCCCCAAGTGGACGAAATATATAAATGTATAAATATCCTGACCAATAATGTGACAATTGTTTCCTGTTACCAAATGCTTAGAACAGAACAACCGTTCGACCATTGAGGTTCGATTGTGAAAAATATTTGATTATAATGCGCGCAAATAGATTTCTTTTCTTTTTAAACATTAAGTTTAGAGAGGCAGTCCCTTGGGAAACTTGAGACGACCCCTGGGGAACCACGCCCCAGGCAACAAAAGAGCGACACGCGACCTTGCTTCGCTCTCTTCTTTTCACTCCTTGCTCTGCCCGCTGCTCTGCTCGGCTCCCTGGATGCTTTGGCACGCGACGGCGTGCCTTGCCAAGCAACGCCCAAGACGCGGCCAGTGAAACAGGCCTTTTGTTCGCCTGAAGCTACACACGTGAAGTGCCGAGACATCGATCTGCCCTTCAGTTTGTTTTATTTTCTTTATTTCTTTTGTTTGTTAAAGTTATCAGTCACTGGACTAATTCAGGAACGACCAAGTTCCATTTTAAGCCTTTTTCGTCGAGCCAACTTCACCGAGGTCAGACCAAGCCACGTGGTCTCGCCAGCTACAACGAAGGAAACCTGAAAACAGCTGAATTGCCAGGAGGAGGCGTTTTCAATCAGACACGGAGAACCCCGGAGAATCCCTAGCAAAAAGCCAGGATCGGCAGCTAGTGGGACCTGCAACAGGCCAAAAGAAGGCTGTCGACAAGCAGTAAGACCTAACACATCTTCTGTGATCAGATGTCCATTTTTTAACTCCTAAAATCATAGCATTAGTTTACTTTCATTAGCTCTTCTAGGCCGTATGAGTCAAATGCTTCCCACAACCGAACCTCCAGGCTCATTGTTCAGCAAATGTTTATGTTCCCTGTATCCAACAATCTTTTTATCACATTAGTTAGAGAATAAATTCACTCTAATATAATCAAGAGCTGTGTGTGTTGCCTATTTCTACGTCCCTGCCGAGAGAACTGAACCTTTAGATATGAGACTGACTGACTGATTTAAGATAATTGAGCGATTATTAACTAACTGATCACTAGTAAAAATTGTATAATTATTAAAACTACCTAGAGGTCCGGAGACTCTAGGATTATAACAACTCCAGTGGTGCCCTGAAACGAGGAATCTGGTTTGATTTTATGAATAATAAAATTCATAACTGGGTATCAATTCTCATAAATTTATTAAATTGCATAACTAAATTTTAGGTTTGCTACACATTCCTTCAGTCCCATATTCGTTACACGATAAACACTCTTGAGCAGAGACTTCTCTGTTATGAAGAAACACACTTCCTAACTTGTTAAGTGCCTCTTTTGCATCTACATTACCATTGTTCTTAATCTTGGCGCGGTGGTACAGTGGTTAGTACTGTTGCCTCACAGCAAGGAGGTCGTGGGTTCAAACCCTGTTCTCTCTGGGTGCTCCGGCTTCCTCCCACTATCCAAAGACATGCAGACAAGGTTAATCATCAGTCAGTCTCTAAATTGCCCTTAGGTGTGAATGTGAGCATGAGTGGTTGTCTGTCTATGTGTGGCCCTGCGATGTCCGACCTGTCCGATGCCAGCTGGGATTGGCTCCAGCCCCTGTACACAGGATAAGCGGTTGATGATGGATGAAATACTCCTTGACTTGTACTTTATGGAAATTATTTAGTTTTTTCTGAGTCTGTTTGGGAACTACATTCTTTTACTTTACTCAGAATTTGTTTAGCCAGAGCATTTCTATTTTTGTCAGTTTCATTCTGCTCCTGCTCTGTTTTGGTGTGAGTAAGGAAAGTGTCGTTAGTTGGTGGCCGTGGGAAATCTACATGTAGTTCCTTTCACAAGTACAAGATTGTGAATGTTTTTTGCTGTGCTGCTGCACACCGGAAACCACCTCATACATGTCACCAGTTACCCTGCAGGTAACGTAGTTGTCAATAAAACCAATGATTTCATCATCTGTATTTTGGCCAAATTTTGCTGGGTTCTCCACCCAGAACAGACAATGTGTGTGAGGTGATCCACCCTGTTGGAACTCTACTCTGTAAAAGTAGTCGACTACCTTTCCTATTGGGTGAGCAGGAGACAAAATTACATCTTTTAATAAACAATGAAATCTATGATCAAACATCCTAGCTGCTGTCACAGGATTTTTTTATTTTTAAGGGTTTTTTTTAATTACATTTTTGTGCCCAGTCCAGATCTTTTACATTGCCTTTAATATTTTCAGCTTTTACAAAGATATCCATGAGTTCAGTCCAGCGTAAATCTGCTGATGAAAAGGAACAGAACCATGTTGGAATTCCCAGCTGCCGTAACATTGCAAATAAGTCTTTTTGTACTCCCTGCCAGAACGCAGGTGTACCTCTAATAGGTTTGAGGAATTTGTAGCCTATATCATTATTTAAAAGTTTCTTAACGAAGTCAGAGTCTGACAGCATGGATGAAGTAATTGCTTTTCTCAAAGCAATTGATGCATTGGACATCACTTGCTCCACCTCAGATGCATACTGTCCATAAAATATGTACTCCAGGTTGCAGGCAAACCTAGTATCTGCATTGAGGATTCTTTGATTCAAATATTTACTCAGTGTCAACTTTACATCTCTGGCATCATGGAACGTTCCAGTACCTCTTGGAAAAAGAACGGGGAAACATTTAGCCTCATTGCCAGCGTCTGTCAGTAGTCGCACAGGACTGTTTCCTTCTGCTGGAACTACTGAGAAAACGTGCCGTCAAAGTGCTGATCAAGAATTTCTTGTCCAATATCAACGGGTTGCATACATGTATCCAAATACTTCCCATGCTGCTGCGCATCATTGATGTGTTCATCCATGTTTTCATCTGATGCTTCTGGTTTATCTTTGTCTGCAGCTACATCATTGACCTGTGTTTCATTTTGGGATTTGCTCTCACTTTGATCATCTCTTATCATAGGGATTTGCCCATTCAAAATCAATCTCCACATCTTTATACCATTTATTGATACGTACGTAACAATGAAAGTGCATTAAGAAGTTTTTGTGTGTCAACAAATTGAAACTTGTAATGTCCTTTGTAGGTCAGTTTTCGCTTTAACTTAACACGAAGGATGAGAGACTGATTTTCTAACCTAGGTAGAATGTTAGTTACTGCATTACAGTTAGATGGGACGCAGGTGACTGGTCCATGGACACCATTTTGTCCTCCCTTAGGTAAAGCCAATAATTTCATAAAAGGAATATTTAAGGCAATCAAATGTTGTTCCAAAGACTCCAGATGGAGGGTCTTTGGAATTGGATCTAGATGTAAGTTATTTGCTACACTGACTGCAGGTACTTTGCCTTTAAGGATTTTACTGTTACACGAATGACAAATCCATGATTTAGCAGCGGTTGACTGTTTTAACATGCAATTTGTATCACACGTATCTCCACATTTGTGAAGATAAGTTGTAGTGATGCATTTATTTGCTACTGCAGCAACTACTGAACCCTTCTGTCCATATTGCTCTATTTTACATAGAACTACTTGTTTCTGAAATAGTAATCTATGACATACACAACAAACATATTCTGGACCATGTTTTACTTTTTTTTTTACATGTTCCTCCTTTCCAATGTTGCATTAATCTTTTTTTTGCCGATTTCGCTCCTTAATTGATAAAGCATAAACTGGGTCACTTTTAATCTATCACATGATGACGATGATCAGCATCTTTAGCATATTTCTCTACACTCATCTTCTTAACATTTTCTCTGAATTGTGAATCTTTTGCATATTTTTGGACACTGCTTTGTTTTAGGTGTGTTTTGTATTCATCATTAGTAGCATATTTATGTTTACCATACTCTATCAGATAGGCTCTATATGATGCATCAGCTTCATATTTATTAACATCTTGCTGTTGTTTTTTTATTCTCTATTTACCATCTTTAACATATTTCTTCTGTCTTTCATCTTTAGTTTGTCTGAATTCAGAGTTGTCATTGTATTGGTCTCTCTCTTTTCTCTTCTTCCTATCATTACGGCTTGTATACGATAAAATAATATCAGCTTCTGGTTTTGTGTGATTTATTTCACTAAAGGTAATTAAACTCATTTCTGAGAAGCTGAATCTTTTACACACTCAATGGGTTGATAATGACACTGATTACAGTGTTAAACACTAAGATAAACCCCTTTGTCCAGTCTTTGCTGAGTGTTTGCTGCAAACTTTGGCCACGTTTCTTGAATATATGTGTAAATATCTACACCAAACAAATCAGCAGCGGCATGAATTTCTACCTCAGTAGCCCAAGTGTTAACATACTTAATTTTTGATTCTGACATACTGAGGAACGGATGAAAGATTGTTTCTAATAATATTTTTGTATATAATAGGGTTATCTTAAATTTTTTTAAACTACAGCTCTTCGAATGGCTTTGTGATATTCCTGTGTGTCACTGAATACATGTGAAAGAGCACGAAAGAAGCAATTGCCATCTGACGCAATATTAGTGGTTTTTACAGGGTTTAGGGTGCTCTATGTCGATGTTTGGGACAACAACATCCTTATTACCTAAACTTGGCACGATATTAAGTTTCATACAGATCACATCAAGATGTTCAAAGGCAGTTTCATGGCCAACTCGGGATGCTAACTACAGAAACTTTAACAGGACTCACTTCAAATAATTTGGCAGTGGTGTTGGGATCATCTGCATACAACGAACATTTCACAGAAAAATGCACTAACCTGGTCCTCTGGGGCAGCAGCTGGGACAGGGGACATCTCCGGCAACTCGTACACCGCCCGGGTGGGTGCCGACTCCTGAACACAAGAAAAGGAAAAAAAAGTGAGCTATTTAGGCACATTGGAAACAACTGTGTTTACATTTACCTTTAACCATTTAATATAATTGGTCACATAATATTTACTAACCTCCTCCTCTGCAGCCACACAAAGGGTCTGGCAGGTGTGAGCCCGGGACACACCTCCACAACACTGGCAGTTGCCTGGACCTTAAAAAAAATAACACAATGAGCTGCATAAACAAACGAGTACCTTGTTTTACTTTATAATGACAGAATTATTGCATCATACATTAATTATTGCTACACGTTTCTCACACTGGACAACATGTTTACATTAAATATTGAAGAAAACTTTGCAGGTCTCCCCTGTGAGGCAACTCGCTGTGCCCGAGGTCCCGCAGGGGGCCTCTAAAGTAAAGTGAGAAAACATACATAAAACAATTGAGCAATTTTATGTTACATACCTCTACATTAGAACCATTCAGTTATGTTAATGTTTCAGGAAGCAGGAAATTAAACATTGAATCTGCATGTAAATTACCTTGGCTGGTGGAACTGGAGGACACTCAGGAGCAGGAAGATGGGACGGCACAACCGCGTCCATGCTGGCCAGCACTGAAATGTAACGGGTTCATTGGGATAAAGCATGGCCTAAGTTTTATCGGAGCCTGTGAAATAAACAAACACTATTAATTAAAATATTCATTGTCTAAATGCATATCTCAATACAAAATGACAAGACAAAAACAAACCTGCTCTTGTGCCGTCCTCTTTGAAACACGAGAGGAAGCTTCCCCTGATGACTTCCTCTGCATATGAAAAAAGACAGTTTGTGTTACCAAATATTAATGACCACGACAAAAAGAAAGTGTCTGTGGAATTTCAGCAGGCAAATCTTACCATCCTGCCCTCCACTGGCAGAAAGACATCAGCATCAGGTTTAGGTTTGGCGTGTTGAGGGACACGGTCCTCTTCACACAAAACCACACGCGGCCGGACCCGCGGAAGAGCTGGGACCGCACGACGAGCAGGCAGAGCAGCCGGCTCCGGCTCCTTAGCCGCTGACATCTGCACATGCTCGAAAAACGGTCCACAGCAAGTCAGCAAGGACAAGCATGCCCTTGTCGTCGCTCAAGTGGATCTGCAAAAAATAATCAAATGGAGAAAAAACATTGTAATTGTCAACATGTATCTATGAATTTAACCACACAGAATCAGACTTCACACTTTTCCCCTTTTTATTGCTTGTACTTATGCCATCTTTGCTCCACAGAGACAAATTGTGCAGGGGGAACTGGTCAGCAGTGGAGTAGTACTTGACACCTTAAAACAAAGAAAAACCCAGATGAATAATTTGAAGACATGGCTGTATTTCCTAAAAGCACAATCATTATTTGCCTTACTAAAATCTATTTTCAAACTTAAGACTCGATTTCTTATCATGCCACACACATGCACCAAAAAAAAAAAAAATATACAAAAAAGAATACAGAATGAATTAAAGCGTTGGGCGGGCCCTCGCACGCGTCCGGGTGTGAGCCGGCCGAGTTGCATATTCTGGAGCTCTGCCGTTGCGGCTGTGAATTTGCTACGTGGTTCCGACGCCGCATGAAGGTGCTATATGTCACTTCCTGTGTCCCCTATGTGGAGCTACATAGCACTTGCCGCTATGAATATAAATCGGTATTGGTGTGTAGATGTCTGCGGGGTATGGAGGACCGATCCTGACACAGTCAGAAATAAATACAGAAATAAGTAAATGCTCAATAAATAAATAAATAAATAAATGTAGGTAGTAATTAAATTATACAAGGAGACATAAATGTATATATTTTAATTGGTGCCTTTACTTATTCACCTTTGTTATAATTACCTTATTTATTTATTCTCCGTTATAATCTTCAACTTTATTTATTAATTACAAATTTTTTTAATGTATTTATTTATGTGTGTCTTTTAATATTTTTGTCTGTTTTGTTCTTCCTTTGTATTTTTTTACCTTATTTATTTTCACCCATGGTATGTATTTCTGCCTGTCCTTTTTACATTTCTGTATGCATTTCTGCCTCATTATACAAATGAGGAGGGGCTGTGTCTCAAGGTCATCTTCTCTGCTATTGGTGGACCAGTCAGACAGGAGAGCTCCTACTCTGCCTGCAGACATCAACGATCTTGCTCCTCACACAGTCAGATGGCTTCCTTCAGTGCGCTGAGGTGTTTAGCAACTCTGTTTGAAGACACTACCAGCCATGTCTTCCTTCTCTTTTCATGTGGACACTGACCTACAGAGTTTTCAATTAGCGACTTATACGTACACAGAACTGCAGGAATTGAGCTGTTGTTTCTGAGAGCCACATCAGTTAGCCACAGCTAAATCTGGAGTGCACTCCTATTCGAGTATTTACGGTAAATGCTCCCACACGGAGCAGCTCCTTGCTCTGCTGTTTTCAGCTGCTGTTTCAACAAAAACGCCATTCAGGGTGAAAATTCAACCGTGGTGTTGTGTCGGGAGATGCAGTGACTTCACCAGCGGTGAGTATTATGAATAATACATGTAATCTGTTCAGCTATGAGGAGAGTAAAAATCCGTTATCCGTTAATTTATGTAGTGCTAACATCATATAGGCTAAAGCTCTTAAGCTAGTGGTGGTGACTAACAAATAAACTAATCTTAACAGTTACCATTAAGAAGAATTTTATGCTTCTGTTAAATGTGAATGCTATTAAGCCGTGTTTTATTTGTGGTGGTGAAATCAATTTAAAGCTAACTTTACTGCACCTAACCAGTCGAAATGATTTAATGAAGGCTAACGTTAGTTACTGTACTTCTATGTCTCACAGAAAACACAGGAGGAGGCATGCGGAGAAAATAACCATATTCTTCAGAGGAAAAGAAGAAGGAGAAGGAGAGCAACAAATAACCCCCAAACAATAAAATAAATTCCTTTTATATTTCCCTGCCTTGTTGTTTATGTGTACATACAGAGGAAGAATGTGAGAACAGCACACATTTCATCGTTACTGTGTGTTAGAGCATGGGAGAACAGTGGATACTTTTAATACAGCCCACACCCCTAATACTGTGTAACTATAACAAGTAGAGAACAGAAGAAAAAGATGTTCTTTCTTTCCAACTGTCTGCATAGCTTATTCTCTTTTTCGTTACATTTTTTATATCCTTTTTATTTAACTTAAGTTTTTAACTTAAGTTTTACGTGGGTTAAGGATTTTAGTCATCCGACATGGATTTTAAGCTAGATGACCGTAAAAACGCGATCAACGCTACTCACCACAACAAAAATCCGGCGGCTATGCTAGCCGAGATAACTCTGCTTGAGGACTGCTCACTCCTTAAGAAAGCGAACAAGAAGATTGCTGACCTTATGGAAGACATCCGACGACTTTCAGAGAAACTCAAAGAGAAAGATTCCCTGCTGACTGGCTTTATGGATGTGGCTTCAGTACAAGCCAGATTGTTTCTCTTAGCGCAACCGCTAACATCCAGGACACCGTGTTTTGGGACCCCTCTAGCCTTCCCAGGCTTTCATCCTGCTCGACTCCGAAGCATCAGTCAACCTGGGCTGAAGTGGTGGTCCGTGGCTTTAAGAGAGGCTCGGATGGGGCTGCCTCTCCAACCGCTATGCAGCCTTATCTAACGACACTCCGGTCCAACCAGCGGATGCACCTGCGGCTTCAAGTCTCCCTGATACGGATCTCTTTCGGCGCACAGTGCCTGCCGACACTGTTGCATCTCCTCCACCGGCTACATCTCCTCCACCGGCTACATCTCCTGCACTGGGCCGCCGGTCTGCTGCTGGGCCTGATCGGCGGCCGTCATCCCGGTCAAAAACCTCCGCTTCCCGACGTAGGATCCTGAAGGAGGCTGTGCTCAGACGCTCCGGAGGCCGTCTCTACCCTGCACCGTCGGGTAGCCCTTCTCTCAGGTCTGTTACTGCTACTCCAACACAACACTCGGCAGCTCACACACTCCATCCTCAGTCTGCTCACAGTGTTGAAGCAGATTCTGCTCAGTCCTGGACCTGATGCCGTCGATCCCGTCCTCCATCACAAGAGTGATAGTCCATGTCGGAACAAATGACACAGCTCTTCGGCAGTCTGAGCTGACAAAATCAGATTTTAACCGTCTTTTTAACTTTTTAAAGCAGTGTGGAAAGTCCGTTTTTATCTCTGGTCCCATTCCCACAGTTGGTCGCGGTGCTGGCCGCTTCAGTAGACTCCTTGGCCTCCACGACTGGCTCCAGTCCGCCTGCAGGGCTCATCGTGTGTGTTATGTGGATAATTTTAATATCTTCTGGCAAAGAATGTCTCTTTTTAAGACAGACGGACTTCACCCAAACAAACGGGGCTCAGAAATGTTAGCTGCGCACATACAGCATGTGGTGCGGTCCACACATGACTTACGTGAATGACTAATCATTCATGCAGCACACCTGGACACACCACCGCTCACTGAACAGATCTCTGCCTCACTGCCACAAATAACTGTCTCCACCTGCTGGCATGTAAAGCCGTCTGCTCCCAGCACTGTTCCACAGACTTGTATTTCTGTCATCATCACGCATAGACCAGTAAACCGAAATTATGCAAATCCCACACAGAAATATTAGTAATCTCTTAAGGATTAGGACAACTGCACCAACTCCAGCACCCAGAACAAACTCATTTAAAATGGCTCTCTTCAATGTGAGATCACTGTCAAGTAAGACTTTTATCTTAAATGATTTTATCTTGTCTGCAAATCTAGATTTTATGTTTTTAACTGAATCGTGGTTGCAAATGAAAGACTATAGCCAGCTAGCTGAACTGTGTCCGCCTCAATATGATTGTTTTAGTCAACCGAGGGTCAGTGGTCGTGGTGGTGGGCTAGTGAGCGTGTAAAGGAAAAATTTTAAATGTCATCAAGTACGCTGTGATGAATTTAACTCCTTTGAAGTTCTCACTCTTAAAGTTGGAGGGCTGCAACCTATCATATTTGTTATAATTTATCGCCCCCCAAAACTGCCTGGAGGATTTTTATCAGAACTTCCTGAATTTTTATCTACTCTGGTTTTAAATTATGACAGAATTGTTCTTTGTGGCGATTTTAATATTCATGTTGATGACCCCAACAATGTTAATGCAACTAACTTTTTAAATATGGCCACTTCTTTTAACTTCAAACAACATGTCAAAGGGCAAACACATAAC